TATGTTAAAGATATCATATGTTGAACAAAGATATGGGACATTGCGAGTACCGTCTTGACGTGCTTCATGCATTTAATGGCGTCCGTATAGAGGAGTATTAAATTAGGTAAAAAAATTCACTGTCTACTCTTCATTTTATAGCAATTTCCACATATTTGTCTGTTCATTTTCTTTTGTAATAAATTCTTTAAATTGTAAAGAAACTTTATGAACATCCTATATATATATATATATATATATATATATATATATACACTGTTCATATGTTATTTTTATAGATACAAATATTTAAATAAATGCTCTGTTTGCAATAAATTTATTTAAATATTTGTAACTATAAAGTCAGTGGAGTGGAAGGGAAGACCTAATTCTGTGGCCACCCCTTATTCACCAGATATCACTCCCCTGTACTTCTTTCTATGGGGTTATGTTAAAGATATTGTGCATTGAACAAAGATACAGGCCATCAGTGATTGCCACCATTGATAAGTAAACATGGCAAGAAATCGAGTACCATCTTGATGTGATTCATGCAATTAATAGCGACCATACAGAGATGTATTAAATTAGTTAACAAAGCTTCAATATCTACTTTACATTTTGTAACAATTTCCACATATTTGTCTGTTCATTTGCTTTTGTAATAATTTCTTTAAATTGTAAAGAGACTTTATGGACACCCTAAATATTGTGATCATTTTTTTTTTAATGTAGAAAGTAAATACAAACATCACAATGTTAAATTTGACTTCATTTTAAAACCTTTTCAATTATTGAAAATGATTTTCCTTGTTTTCAAACATTCCTTAAAACACATTTTAGCTAATAATGTAACAGAGAATCTAATAACAATTTGAGCTTTTCTTTCTTCCCTCCCCCACCCTCTACCCAGTACAAGGCTCAGGAGCCACCCAAGGTAGAGGGTTACTGTGTGATGTTACATTAGTGTAAAGAAGGACAAGAAGTAGAAGTTCTTGTGGGCTATGCAGTAAAAGATAACGGCTAACTCTAGACTTGAAAGGGGTCAGTATTTAATTAGTGAATAACATTTCAAAGTTCAGTCAGACGTTAAAAGTATAGAGTTGAAGTAGTATTCTGTATTAATTTCAGCCTTTTAGAGGATATTATTATTAAGTGAAAACTATATTTACTAATCATAAATAGAGAAGCTTAATACAAATCAAATACAAATATTTTAAAAATAATTTTGGTTTTTTTATTGGTGTAAAAATGTGACGATTTTTCTAAATACAGGTGACCATACACAACATATCAGAAAATAAGAGTGATGCCTATAGTAAATTAAAAGCTAAAATTCAATACAACATTAGATTACGGAGAATATTTTTCTAAATTTTTAAGGTTATTGAGTACATAAAATTTTCTTAAATTGTTTTACAGATACAGTCTCCATAGAACAGAATTAGATCTGTCATCACCCTGCCAAACATGACAACACAGCTACTGTTGGTTAAAAAAATGCATTTCTGCGATATTTTAAACTTAAAGTAAATATTTGTTTCAAATCAGATTAATTATACTTTAAATCAGCTAAAGTTTCAGAAAAGTATATTTTATTTTTGGAAGATTTGTTTAATAAAGAGAATTACATTATGATGAAAGATGATAATCTTAGCAAAAGAATTAATTATTCTATCCAGGCAATGTAAACAAGTTTTTGAAATACAGCAAAGTATTTTGCTTATTGGAAATATTAAATTTAATCTATTAGCTTGAAATTAAAACTAAAATAAAAGCTTCAAGAAAGAGTTTTCATTTTGAAAAATTCATTTAAACCTTAGGTATTGTGTTTTTTTTATGGAAGTCCCTACTTTATAGGATTGGAGACCTTACTTATCAATCAATCCTTTCATTTTGAAAAAAAGAATATACATTTTCTTTATTTTGATACTAATTTCAAAATTCTGTCTGGTCTGAAACTTGTTTTACAGGATTGGGGGCCTTGCTTGTCAATCAGACTTTGTATTTCATGCTCCAAAAATCAAACTTATTTCTCAATAAGACAGAGTCAAAAAATTGTCACTTACTTCTGACCATTTATGGGCATAATAGGAAGCCGGATGCTGATCAGAGAAGATGTGTGTAAAGGAACATGGATGATAGTCATCTTCATTTAATGGCAACAACATGTATTCATTCCAAACATGTTCCATCACTTCATGCCAATGGTGTTTGCTGGAAAAAAATGAATAAGATACTAATAATCAAACACAATATGTCTTTGATAATGGATGTTAAGTTATTCCAGTATGTATGATCTAAAACTAAACTTTTATTGAAATTTCACTAACAAAAATGATCTCATAAACTTCTATTCCTACCATAACAACAAAATAAAAACCAGAATAATTACAGGGTTCTGTTTTAGAATTTGTAGCCTTCAATATTTACATCATGAAGAGAAATACATTGAAAATACTTTTAATCTCCACCATTATCCAATTATTTCATATATAATTCTAAGAGGAAAGCTTACAAAATCCACAAAAAAAAAAAAAAAATTAATGCCATGATCTAGTTAACACTTTGCTGTCATTAGCCACAGTCATTGAACTATTACACAACTTTTGACAACCAAATCTTATGGTCATCAATTTCTGGCAAAAAACTTACAATGCCTAATCACAAGCAACTAATCAGATAGCAATTTGAGCCATCTTTTTTTTCTTCATAAAAATGGAAATAATTCTCCAGATCCAGTCAGATGCAAAACAGATCATGGTATAGCTACAAGTCTCTTCATCTCAATTTAACTTTTGAAAAATCACAGAATTGTGAAATTGATAAAGTTACTCTAAATGAATTTTCTTAAAACTCCAGTTGCATTTTCAACTTTATTTTGATATATATATTTTTTTACAATAAGGCCTGAGGGCCACACGAGGTAGAGGGTTACATTAAGAAGCAGTTTATATTGATAGAAAAGGAAGATAACAACACTAAACTTGATTGTAGTAATCAGGAAAACATTGGTTCCACAGATCAGTGGTTTGCAAGAAGAAGCTGTTTCACCAATGAAACACGGAGGGAATGTTGGTAGTTTGCTACAATGTGTGTGTATGATGAGTAAATTGTATCCATATATTTTTAATTTCACACATATGCATTGTTTATTTTTGAGTTTGTCTACAATATAGTTGGGCAGTGTCTGTAGGAAAAAGAGCATCATGATGCAATTCACTTTGCAAGAAATTTGGGAATTGTGTGCTATACTGCTTGGCATTCACATCGGAAGTTCCAATATGAAATATTTCAGAGTGTTTGGGTGTCAATCTGAAGACTGTGCAGAGGATTCCAAAAGAGTTGGATGAGTAATAGCAATTACGAAGGTATAGCAGCTTGAAAAACTCACTCTGATCATTCTGATAAAAAAAAGAACTCCCAAATTTGTTGATGAGGGCCTCAGACTCAACGCAGAGGCCTACATCAAGTGCCCTGAGGAGGTAGTGCTGCCCTGGGCCAAGAGGGTGGCTGCTGGAAGAACCTATGTCTGGCAACAGGACTCTGCACCATACCATACAAGCAAGAGAGCCCAGTCATGGCTGTCAGACAATTTCTGCAACCACATCACCCCTTACATTTGGCCACCTAACTCACTCCCCAAACTGAAACCCCCTAGATTATTTTGTGTGGGATGCAGTTGGGTGAGAGACTAACAAAACTCCTTGTAACACCAAAGAGGAAGAGATGGCAAGGATTATGGCAGCATTCACCAACTTAAACAAGGAGACTGGCCAGAAGAGTTGCAGGTGATTCTGAAGGAGATTTACTCTTTCATATTTTTGTTTAATTTTACTAAATATATCTGTTAAAATGAGATGCGAGATTTAGACGACAATTTACCCATCACACCATATTATTTATATATATATATATATATATATATATGTGTGTGTGTGTGTGTGGCTGAGTGATTAGACCATGTTTTGACCCCAAAATATGTTATTGAATCTCACTATGGTTGATTTGTCAACACGGCGACTTCTTGATATTGATAATATCTGTCTGGAGAGATGATCAATTGAAATTTATGACATATATCTCCTGACGAGTGGATGGAGTGTACATCAACAAAACTCTGGAGTTTGGACCCTGATGGTAGCACTAATCAGCTATGTGACAAACTTTATATTTGTATTAATTATATATTCTGAAAGGTGACATTTCAATGTGTCTTTCTATATTATTTAGGTGTGGATTGCGAATTTTAACTGTTTTTATGTTAAAAACAGAAATGAAAGAAAATGAGATGCATTTTCCTTCATTTAATGCTTATTCTATATTTGGAAAGGATAAAACTATTTTCTTTTATATGCTGTGTCCCTTCAGGATGTAGGAAATCATGGCCCTCCACATCCTCCTGTCCCTTATAGCTCTTAATAAATTTTGTCTTTGTTATTTCCCCCAAACCCTGTTCTACCATCCATTTACTAAAGCCCATCAAGTATGTCACGTGCTGTTTTCCTCTGTCCCTCAATCTGTGTCCTGTGAGTATCAGATTATCCAAACCCTCCTTCCCCCTTACATGCTGCAGAAATTTCAGTATTGTTATTCATGTGTTCAAGCCCATATTGTCAAGCAGCTTTCCGTAGAACTACATTTCTGTTGTTTCAAGTCTTCATCTTTGAAGATATTGTTCAACATTCACTGCCATAGAGAAGAACAGCAGGAAAAAGATATGTGCCATTTATGGTTATTAATTTGTTTTTTACTGCTTACCAACCCTTTCAAAGTTAATTAAAGCCAGAAAATATGATTAGATTCTAAAATAATTTCTTTTCTTTTTTTTTTAGAGATAATTATTTTGTGATACAAATCATACTATTTAATCCATAGCTGAGAGAAGAGGTGGATTCATACCTTTCCCAAGTGTATTTGCGCATAAGTGAATATAATGAACCTGACTGGAATTGGAACACAGCTTTCCAATTAACAATTCCAAGCCTTTATCCATTACACCATCCTCACATCCAAACTTATAGCACCTGGTATTCCCAAGCAGACATCTATCTAGGTACTGACCAAGCTCAATATTGCTTAACTTTGGTGATCGTACAAGAACCGGTGTTTCAAAGTGATATGGTCATAAGCCTGACATTTATGGAGATGGTGCCATTGCTGAGACACTTGCTTGGAAATGGTTCGCTAGGTTCAAAAGTGAAAATTTTGATCTGGAAGACTGAAAATATTCCATTAGGCTTGTAGATGATGATGATGGCCAAATTGAAATGATTAAAAATAATCCTGGTCTTATGACACAGGACATCACAGAAGTACTCCAAATATCACATATGAGCATCGTGAGACATTTTAAAAAACTAGGATATATGAACTGTCACAATATTTTGGTACCTCACAACTTAACAGAAAGAATTCAACAGACTACATTTCCAGCTGCAATTCTCTGTTTAAACAACAAAATCAACAGATTCTTAACAATGAACAGTCACTGTTGAAAAAAAAAAAAAAAGAAATGGTTTGTAACAATGTGAAGTAAAAAAGGCCATGTATAAAACAAAAAGGAGTCACTGTTAACTACTCCAAAAGCTGCATCTGAAGATAATGCCGTGTATCTGGTGGAGTTGGAAATATTCCACAAAATCAGACGTTGAATTCATACAAATTATCTTCCCAATTGAACCAACTGAAGGTAGTGATCAATGAAAACCATCCAGAACTGGCCAATAAGAAGGATGTTGTCTTCAGTCAGGACAACACCAGAACTCATGGCACCTTGCAGACCCAGAGCAATTGGTACAGATTGACGGGGGATTTCCTACTCCACCCAACATACTTATGTGAGTGTCACTTCTTCAGATTACTACTTATTTAAATCCTTAAAAAATTCTCTTAATGGAAAGAACTTCAATTATCTGAAAGTCTTTAAGAGTCACTTAGAACAGTTTGTCAGCCAGAAAGATTCCAAGGTTTGGGAAGACACAGACTCATTAAATTACCTCAAAGATAGAAAAAAAGCAATGGAATGATGGTGATCAAAAGTGAGCTGCAATGTCAGGATTGCCAGCTTAGAACACCACAACAAAGCTCGTCAAGTTCATGGATTATTAATGAAAATGAGTAACACAGTGGCTAAGAAAGCAAAATACGTATTCCATACTAAGAGTTGAATATTGCCAGTTTTGAAAAACATTTAATAAAACTATCCTTTAATTTCACATAAAAATCTGTAATACATCTGAAAGACGACAGCCTAAAATGATTCCAGTTATAAAGCGCCATATCAATAGATCCATCATTGATAACAGCAAAAGATGGTGGAATTCTTGTATGAACAAGATTCTAACATTTTAACAAGAAAAAAAAAATAAAATTAATTATTTTTTAGTTTTATTAAGATTTTAAATAAAAACATTACAATACATTGTAATATATTAATAAAAATAATATAAAAATGCAATGTAGTAACATCTACGTACAAGCACAGGTTTCTATGCAATGTAATGATACAATACAAATTTTACTAAATTAATATGAAATTAATTAATCAACAACACAATGGTGAGTTTGAAATGCCAAAGCCTAAACAATAATAAATGCCTGGGAAAATACGGATACACTGAAGATATTAAAACTCAATGAATTTATTAAAATAAGATTATACAGAAAAAAAAAAGCAAACTTTAAAAAGTGTCACAGTCAAGTTCAAATTTGTTTCAAATTGGGATCCACTGGTGATTATGATTCTAATATGAATATGATAAAAAATTTCAGGGTCCACTGCGCATGCGCAGCTAAAGCAATATCATGGTTTATTGGTGCACAGCTTAATGGCACTGACCTATTTATTTATTTATTGTCCCCTCGCTGGTAGTACAAAAGAATTTATATTCATTATTAATATATAATTTATAGCTCTGTTATATAACATTAAGCATTTTATTAACAGCAGCACTCAATGTGCCAAGTAGTTAGAATGTTCACTTTCTGACCACAAGATCCAGGTTCAAATCTCACCGTGGATAATTTGTCAGGTCTAAATGAATGACCCCAGCACATGGCACCTTTGGAGAATGCCTGAAAACCATATCATGGGCTGACCCAAACCTTGTAAGTGAAATTTGGTAGACGGAACCTTTGGATGGCTGTCGATGACTGCGCTAGCACAAAGTCACATGGCATCGTGACCGAGAGTTGAGCATGCTAACTTTGTACAGATTGTTGATCACGCTAGATAACACACTATCTTCCAGAAAATGTAACTACAGTCTGCTCAGCATAGTTGCAGTATAAACCGCAGGTGGACTCTGTGGATGTTAAACAAACACAAATGTGCCTGAACGGGCGTCTGCAGTATGGATTGGCTAACCGCCCTAGATGATGGGTATCCTCAAATATAAGTGGTCAGCTATTATTATTATTATTGCAATAATATATAGGCATGGTGGAGTAACAGATATCGGCTCGCATTGAGGAATCAGAGAGCTGAGTTTGAATTCCAGTCAAATCCATTACATTCACTTATGTGCTAATACCCTTGGGAAAGATATGAATCTTCCTCTTCTCCCCCCAGCTATGGGTAAATAGCAGGACAGACTGGCTTCTATAGCCTTGGGTGGTAACTGGTCTACTGCAGAAAGAAATAGCAACTTACAGCGAGAAAAAAAAAAATATATATATATATATATATGTATATATGAGAATGTGTATTTATCAGTCATAGTGAAATGTAAGGATTGAAATAGTATTTAGTATAAATTACTTACCTAATGTGGAACTCTATGTCTAAAGCACTTAGATAGATTTGTCTTATCATATCAAAGCCAATCATGTGTTTCCGACCTGAAAAATCATTCATTTAACACAATTAAGCAAAAGCCATCAATATTTATGCTGTATTTTAATTTATAGAAATCGATAAGACCAACATAATCTTTAACGACCACTTACCTTTTAATATAACATCAATCATGTCATTGGAGAGTGGTTCACCCGTTTGATAGTGTGATGAGATACGGTGGAGTATGGATGGTTGAGACAGCCACATTGTCATGAAGTTCGAGCAGATATAAAGAGCGTCCCATTCAACATTCTTCTGGCCGGCTATCTCACTGTAGGATACTTTAGTCAGCATCTGCTGGAGACCATGACCAAATTCAGAGAACAATGAATGCACTTCGTCAAGGGTCATGAGCGTTGGCATACTGGCCACTAATGGTTTGTGTAAATTCATTACCAAATAAGAAAATGGTTTCAAATTATGATAATCACTTCTTTCTGGAGAAAAGAAAAAAAATAGTACATTGAATAATCTGTGAGGAGTAAAAAATTTTATTAGAGCATAAAAAAATGGGCATTTTAAAAGCATACATATTCCCAAAATACATGCAAATATAAACCTCCAGGAGAATGAGTTGCGACTTCTTGGCTAATGTTTTCCACTGTCATGAAATGAAAAGATTATATTGAATCAACTGTTAGGTCTGCTACTAGGAAATATGGTTCCCTGTGACAATCTTTCTCACCAGAATCTATCTTTAATATTTATAAGACTACCATTCATCCATGCATTGAATATTGCTGCCACATCTGGTCTGCTGCTTCTGCTATATATTTAGAGATTCTTGATAAAATCCAAAGAAGAATCTATCTTGCATATTTATAAGTCTACCATTCAACCATACATTGAATATTGCTGCCACATCTAGTCTGGTGCTTCTGTTATATATTTAGAGATTCTTGATAAAATCCAAAGAATAATCTATCTTGCATATTCATAAGTCTACAATTCATCCTTCTCAGAATAACGTTTTCTGTGGACATGAGGTGAAAAGATTATATTGAATCACTTGCTAGATCTGCTGCTAGAGAATTTGGTTCCTGTCGTACAAGACAATTTTTTCTTGCCAGATTTTAAGTCTACTATTCAATCTTGCTTTGAATGTTGCTGCCACATCTGGTTGATCTGGTGATTTAGTGATTCTTGATAAAATACAAGAAAGAATCTGCAATGTTATTTGTCCTGACCTGGTATTTTTGCTTCAGTCATATTCTAACCACCATAACATAGCTGCCCTGTGCCTTTTCTATAAATATTTTCATTTATTTGTAATTGCTCTGATCAGTGTTTTGCTTTGGTGCCTTGACTTTAAACATGTAAGTGCAGTACTAGAGTGGCAGCTAGGTCTCACCATTTTATATTTATGCAAAAGTAAGTTCTATGCCAACTGTTTCTATTATCAGATTTCTCACTTGCAGAACTCTCTTCTGACGTCATTCTTTCCAGTCAACTTTGATATTCAAAAATTTATATTCAGTGTTAAATGTTATCTTCTGTCTTCTTAATTCCTGTTCATCTGTCGTTGTTTTGTCTCCTCTTGTTTTTCTTTTTCTCATATTCTTTCACACTTAGTAACTGCGGATGAGCGTTTTGGCTTGTCATGCTTGACTGCTCTCTCTTCTCTTTTGTTACAGTTGCTACTTTTGTTGAAGTCTTGCTGTCATTTGTCTATTTAGTTATTAACGGCTCCCATATCATATTAATTTCCATGCTAAGTCTACCCAGGAGATCCTTATAGCATAGCATATGTGCCGATTCTTTCAGGGTCATCATCAGCCCCTATGGAAGGAAGTGAAAATACTGGATAAGGAAGAATATGGGAGCTGCTAATAAAGAAAGACAAACAAATGACTTCAACAACTATAACAAAAAAGAAAAGTTTCAGTAAGCGCAGGTAGGGTAGGTTTAAGGCTCCAAGTTCACCACAGAGAATTGTCCCACAAGAATGCCTAATGGATTAAAGTGTTGATTTATGAATTTGGTGACACAGTAATTGTGATATTCAATCCGGTAGCTGGGCAGTGTGTACCCAGACTTAATAGAAACAGGGCGAGCAATAACTGAGCAGTATTAAAAATAAGAACTAGACAAGATATCCCTAGACATGGGCTGTAGAACAAAAAACAGTCTAACCTTGTAGATTAAATAAACAGGTCAACTCAGGATTCCTTGTAGATCACAGGTTACCCGGATTGATATACATCTAATAAGGGTTGATAACAAAAACAACAAAGATGAGGGCAATAAATTGAATGGAAATAGTGTAAATAAAGAGAACACCTTGTCACAG